GCAGCATTAGACAGAAAGCGATGTAGTTTAAAATTTACTATATTAGCAAATAATTTTTGTACTTTTTGGGAAAAATCTTTTCAAATTCATATATATATATATATATATATATATATATATATATATATATATATATATATATATATACACAAATATAGGATTGGTGTATATGGAAAAAATTCCAATAACCAAAAATATTATTCTTAAAAGTGTACTCAACACAGAGTAGAGCAAATATAATTTATTTGAAAATTATAACATAAATGTTATAAAATCACTACAAAAATACCCATTTTATTTCAACACTTCTGGCGTCTTATCAAGTGATGATGTTGAATATAGAATGTTCTACATTCAACACCATCACTTGATAAGACACCAGAAGTGTTGAAACAAAATACCTATTTTAGTAGTGATTTTATAACATATTTATAATTTTCAAATAAAGTTATATATATATATTTGATCTTTCATGACAAATCTTTTTTTTAAGTATCTCATATACAGATATCAATGACAAAAGCGGCTTCAAATGTCACTATTTCCTGATTGATTCATTTTCTGTGGCTTATCAACCCTTTGCAGGTTATTTAAAGCCAGAAAATATTTTTAGATTGTAAGAATTATTTTTTTTAAAATAATGATTTTACTGATACAATTCTTACTAATTAACCCATAGCTGAAGCGAGAAGAGGTGAATTCATACCTTTCCCAATGGTATTTGCATGTAAGTGAATATAACAAACCCAACTGGAATTGGAACTCAGCTCTCTGATTAACAATTCTAAGACATTATCCATTTCCCCACATAAACATCCAAGCTTACAGAACCTGATATTCCCAAGTGGTCACCCATATATGTACTAACCAGACTCAACGTTGCTTAACCGGTAATCATATGGGAAGTATGTCATTAATTCTCAAGTTGGTATGTATGCTGATGACACAACTATTTATTCTTGTCTGAATGTTAAGTCTGATCAGTTTAGTATGGTCAAACTGATCTAAAAAATGACCTACAATTTGTTGTTATCTGGGGCAAGAAATAGCTTGTTAATTTTAATGCCTCCAAAACAAAACTGCTCTCTTTTAATCATCTTAGAGAACCTTACTTGCCTTCCATCAGCATGGCTGATGCTAACCTCCAGGAGAATGAATCACTGTGCTTTCTTAGGTTAACATTTTCTGCTGACATGAAGTGAAGAGATTATATTGAATTAATTGCTAGGTCTGTTGCTAGGAAAGTTGTTTCACTGTGTTGTGCCAAACAATTTTTTCTCACCAGAATCTATCTTACACATTTATAAGTCTACCATCTGTCCATACATTGAATATTGCTGTCACATCTGGCATGGTGCTTCCGCAAAGTATTTAGAAATTCTTGATAAAATTTTGGGTGTTCCAATAACTTGGACCAATTTTAAATGTGAATTAAGTTTAATCGTCTAATGATTTTTTTTTCTTTCAGATTTAACAACTGAAGTCTTTGGCAATTTCAACCATGGAAAGATTAACAATCAAACAGCGTGTTAAAGTTATCGAAGTCTATTACAAAATGGACGTTCAAACAGACTTTAAATGAGAACTTCCCTGGTTGCATCATCTCTTGAAACAGGGAAGTCGATTGGCCACCACAATCGTGACTTTGACACCTTTAGATTTCTTCTTTTGGGGTCATCTCAAAAGTAAGGTCTGTGCCAACAAGCCAACAAAAATTCAGCAGCTGAAGGATGAAATAATAAGGCATATTGGTGAGATCGAGGAGCAACTATGCTGAGATGTCATCAAAAATTTTGACCATTGAGTGAAGATGTGCCACCGAAGCCTTGGCGGACATTTGGACGATATTATTTTTCAACACATAATTGCTATGACTTAAATAACATAATCCAAAAGAAAAATAAATAACTTTTCACCAATAACACTGATTTATTTACGGCTGACTTTGATCCGTCTTAATGAAACACCCTTTACAAAGAAGAATCTGTAATGTTACTGGTCCTGACCTGGCATATTAGCCTCAGTCGCAATTCCCATCTCTGTGATGTAGCTTCCCTATGTCTTTTCTATAAATATTTTCATGGTAATTGTTCTGATGAACTTTCCTTGTTGCTATTTTACCCATAAGGTGGCTGTAGAAAGAATGGTAAGTAAGAATGTGTTGTTTTCGTGTAAGAAATACTGTAGTATGTTTGGGTCAGTAATTGTGGCTAGCTAAGTTTAAGATAAGACAGATTAAAGACCAGCCTTCCTCCATCCCCACCCCTCATTTTAACCATGCGTCACATTTTTGCATTATTACAGAAAATAGACTTTTTATATGCTTAAGGAGCGCCCCCTAGCAACAGTATTTTTAGCAAAGTCAGGTAGGATAACACACATTACCAGTATTTTTACAGGAAAGAAACAGACATAATAGCTTTAGACATAATAGAATAGAAAGACCCTATTGCCAATTCAATATACCTATAAGATTGTCTGGTAATTCATCACCAGGTCAGGTTACTCCAGTGAAGGTGTTGTAGAGGACTGTGTGGTGTTTGCGTGTTGTTGTATTAGAAACACATGTGTAACTCCTGGTAGAATATTAAAAGGTCCAACTACAAGAAAATGGCCGGACTTGAATTAAGTCCAACTGAAGATGTAAAGAAGACAAACAAGACCGATATATATATATATATATATATATATATATATGTGAAAAGTGTGTATAAATATAAACAAATATATATATGTATAATTATTTATATATTATATGCGTGGTACTTATTAGAAAGCGCTCAATATCAGAGATAGAGCTAACATATTTGGTTGGATAGATGTGAGTTTGTGACCCTGGGTTTCACGCTTTAGCGATCGTCAGACAAACTGATTAATGTTTTAGCAGGGATTTGCGGCAATGCTTGATTATTTTTATATCACCGTCCGTGAGTTTTACATTTAGTTGTGCCAGTTGTATGGCTTCATTTAATATGCTGTCTGTGATGGAAGGATAAAAATCCACAATGTCAAATTGGATGAAAGTGGATTTATTTTTGTTGTCTATCGTTTTAAACCACTCTATGACGGCTTTAGTGTTCTTCCACTGGTTGCGACCTAATTTTTCTCTTAGGGTGGTGTTGATATTTTCTAGGATCTTCTTACTAATTTTTCCTATCTCGCTCTTCACCGGGTCAATTAGTCTGAATGTGGGTTTTTCTATGAAGCTGGCTTTGTGGTCCTTTGCCGTGATGAAAACATGTTGTTCAGCTAGTTTGTTTACTCTTTCATCTATATTCAATTTGGTGGCTATGTTTTTTGCTTCTTGGTTTATGATGTTTATTGTGTTCATGTTTGTTTTTTTGTATAGTTGTGTAATTTTGTTGGTTAAGAGTTGATTGTAGGCTGTAGGTTCTATAGTATATATGTTTGTGGTTTTGTCAGCCAAAATGAATACCTTGTTGGAGTTGATTATTTTTTTCCTGTCGTCTATGATTTTTTTCTGGAAATTGTCCAAGTGTCTTTTGAATTTCAAGATTCTAACTATATTTATCATGTGCTCTTCGAATTTTAACATTTTCTTGCATATTGGTGGACACTTTTTTGTATTAAAGTTGAATGTCCCGGCGAAGAGCGAGATAGGAAAAATTAGTAAGAAGATCCTAGAAAATATCAACACCACCCTAAGAGAAAAATTAGGTCTCAACCAGTGGAAAAACACTAAAGCCGTCATAGAGTGGTTTAAAACGATAGACAACAAAAATAAATCCACTTTCATCCAATTTGACATTGTGGATTTTTATCCTTCCATCACAGACAGCATATTAAATGAAGCCATACAACTGGCACAACTAAATGTAAAACTCACGGACGGTGATATAAAAATAATCAAGCATTGCCGCAAATCCCTGCTAAAACATTAATCAGTTTGTCTGACGATCGCTAAAAGCGTGAAACCCAGGGTCACAAACTCACATCTATCAAAATATAAATATATATATATATATATATATATATATATATATATATATATATATATATATATATAAACAAATATATGAATCAAACAGAACAATTTTAAAATGGACAATAACATTTGTGTGTGTGTAAATATTGGTGCCTGTTCTTTGGTAAATGTTTGTACATACGTGTGTATAATGTTCATGGCGTCTCCCACAAATGGGAAGACGTGGATCTTCTAAAAGAGCTTACATTGTAATCGCTGAAATGAAAAAGAGAATGAGGCGAGAAGTCTCCCAGTATTTATAGTATAGGGAGAATGACCCCTAGTGACAATTTGGGAATTAAAGATGAGCTAACTCAGCAAATCTTGACCCATCACACGTGTAGTAAATTTGTTCTTTGGAAGCAGAACAGATTATTATTACAATAATAGTCCTTTATTGTTAGGAAGTATGGTATCAGTCAGGCGATACATGACTGACAAGGCAGTAAGTTATCATTTCTTTTTGCTGTAGACCAGTTGCCATCCAAGGCTATAAAACCCAATCTGTCCTGCTATTTATCCATAGCTGGAGGGAGAAGAAGAGTATTCGTACCTTTCCCAAATACAAGTGAATGTAATGGATTCAAATGGCGTTTGAACTCGGCTCTCCTATTCCTCAATCCAAGCCACTATCCATTACCCCACCATGCCTCCTCCTATACCCGTCATTATTTAATACTATTTGATAATTTGCCAATTAACAGTAATTATTTTAACTATATTTATAATATAACAGTTAGTAATAGCTAATTATTTGCATAGATACTTCCTCATGATCTCGAATTAGAACTATGTTTATTCAGCCGTAAGCGTGATTATTTTAAAGTGGTAATTTTACAATCTTGCTACTGGTCTGACACTTATGTGCATCCGTAGATTGCCGTGCCAATCCTTCTGTAATATCGTTGCGGAGGAAAGCTGTGTTGTCTCCCGTTTTCCCCCAATTACGAAAAATAGGAAGAATGGATCGTTAAAAAGGAAAAAGAAACAGCCACACTTTTCTTAATTTTGTCGTATGTTATCTGAAATTACTCTCGCCAGATACGCCATGTATTATGAAGGAAGCCTTGGTTATGAACTTGAGGAAGACAAATTGTAAGTTGTGAAAATAAATATTTATAATTTTGTTGCTCTTTCTTTTTTTAAGGTTTTCTTGTCACTTTTTTTTTTCTATTCATTCTTATTTTTCCTTCTTAAGAATCTGAATTCGATAAATTAATCAAAGTCAAATCATTTGTTGCTCCTAAAACGAACAATTTCATTTATTAATCTCATTTTATTCTGAAGTTTAAATTAGCAAATTGAAATACTTCAGTCGAAATAAAAAATGACAAAAAATAAACAAACATACGGACAATGAAATAAAAATGCGTCAATTTAAAAAAAAAAGAATTGTCTTCATCATGAAAATGTCTTTCCAAAATAGTTTTTATTGTAATCATTAATTATTCCATTCTTTTAAAAAATACCAGTTTTTACTTTCCCCATTTTAAACATTTAAAAATTAACGTTTGAAACCAAAGTGAAAATTAAAAAATATATGAATGATTTTATTTTTAAAAAATTAATTTCACTTTTCTTTTGCTCACTTCAAATTTCAAAATTTTCAGAGTTAAAAAAAAATAGATTTAAGCCTCAAATGATAATGATAAAGATAAGGATCCTCGTCAGAAAACAATAGAAATAATTTTTTTAAAAATAAACGATAAAAAATAATTTTTCTAATTCTGGAAATTTTGTTAAAAATCTAATCTTTTTTTTTCTATTTCTAAATGTGGTTGTATATATATAGGTTTCAAATAAAAAAAATATTGTAAAAAAACAAACCCTTTTCTGAATTCACACATTGACTCTAAAATTAAAAAAAAAATCTAACTACCAAACAAAACCAAATCAACAGTAAAAATCTACAAAGCAAATATATTTGCTTAAAAAACATTAAAAAGAGGCAATAAAATGAATAACTCCCGAACTTCATACAGATAAAAAAAATTAAAAATCTATTTTTTATTAATTTTTTTTTTTAACATCAAAAAAACAAAAGTAAAACTATTTCCTTGTTTACATGTGGAGGAATTTTCTGTTTTATTCAGTGGTTGCGTACATTTCTCAATTAGAAAAAAATGAATTGTAAATTGTACATAAATAAAAAAAAAAACAATTTAAATTTTTATAACTTGTGAAATTATCGAAAATTATCACATTTTAATTTTATCTTCGGTTTTTTTTTTTTAAATTACTAATAAAATGTAGTCTTCTTGTATGTTGAAAATAAACTTTTTTTTTTAATAAGATTCACTTGTATTTTCAAATTTAGAGTCTATTTTCTATTGGTGAGTAATCTTTTGGATTTGGAGTAAATCAAGATTTGAAATGTTTTATTTCTATTTTGTTTTCTATCCACACACTGAAAAGCACCTGTAAAAAAGAAAAAAAAAATTAAATCAAGATTTTTTTTTTGTTTTTTTGTTTTTTACCCAAGTTTGCCATACATCCCCATTTGCTGTTCAACTAGGAATAAAAAAAATAATAGTATTTTGTTTTTTGGAATTTTCAGCCCTTAAATTAAAATAGCTTATTGTTGGGTCATGGAAACACTCTCTTACAAGAACCTGCCCTAAACTTAGCGTATTTCACTGCTTATAAGACACTCCGGTGCATTAGACGGCCTTCTAAATTTTGAAGGAAGAAATCGAAAAAAAAAAAAGAGTTTTTTCCTTGTACTTCATAGCCCTCACCAATATCCCCAATGTTACCCACTAAAAATAGTAGTATATTTCAGCATGAAAACCTGACTAATTATGACAAATTCATGACAGCCTGAGAAGTACCAAATTTACATAGTAACTATTGTAATAATTAGAACAAGAGTACATAACCAAGTGAAATTTCAACCTGAAATCCTCACTAATCGCTCACCCCACACTTCTAATTTGTAATTCCCGTCACCGACCTTCAAGTTATAAGAAGAAGCAAGGTGTTTTTTGGAGATATTTTATGGGTAAAAACTGCATCTTATAAGCGCAGCAAAATATGGCAAAAAAAAAACATTAAAAAAAATAACTATCACGGTTTGAAAATGACGGTAAACTTATTTTTATTAAAATGAAAGTGATTTTTATTTTTAATCACCATTTTTGATATTCAATTCATTCATTTTCACAAGAAAAATACAAATTAGTTAAAACTCTGGCAATGAAAAATAACCTTTCCAAGGTTAAGGTTGCTACAGGACATTTTGGTCAAAATCAAATTAAATTGATTTTTTTAATTTTTGCATTAAGTAAATAAAATCGAGGAAACCTATGAAACTGAATGTTCACTGATTAAGAAATCATTTGAATTTAAAAAATTTGAACTGTGTCTTTTCCTTCCCTTTTGTGAATTTTGCAAGCTTCTTACGGTTTTTTTTAATTGTTTCGTTTTTATTTTCAGTTTGAATTTTTGTGATAAGAAAAATTATCTACACGCGCGCTTTAAGTTTTCATCTTTGTTGTTGTTCACAACGTTTCGGCCATTGTGCGTCGGTCCTTCATTGCTAAATAAAGGGTTCAGTTGAAATTTCCCTAAAGACTAACTGGATCAACAAGCCCTTGATGAAGGCCAGGGGGCACAACGGCCGAAATGTTACAATAACAAAGATTTCACTGTTTTGTTGCAAATTTAAAAAAAAGAAAAAATGTCAAGGTGATCATGTAACATTCATGAATCTAATTTTTCACCTTAAAACACATAAACCCATCATTTTTCATAAAGCAAACATAAATTCAAAATATTTATTAGGGCATCTAACTAAATAGATAGAAATGAAAATATACATATATGGAAAAATGATTCATGATTTTGTTAATGTTAGTAGAACAATTTCCTATATATATATATATATATATATATATATATATATATCCTCTGTGTGTGTGTGTGTGTGTGCACTTAAATGTATTTTGTTTTAATTTATTAATGTAATCTCCTGGATTGGATGACAGAATATGTCCCTCACTTTGAAATCCAATCATAGGAAGCAGGTTTTTATCTGGAGGTGGGATTGCATGCTCCACCTTCTGTGTTTTAAAAGTTTTACTCTTAGCTAGAATAGGAGTGGCCAAACTATCGACAGCTGAGACTGTATTTGTTTTGTACTGATAACCTTGTGAAAGGCATGAATCTCATCTCCCTTCACTTAGCTATGGGTAGGCAAGACAGCAAAGGCCCTCTATCTTTGGATGGAAACCAATCATGTAGGACAATTCTAAATGTAAAACCAAGAGTAAAATTAGGCAATGATTAACCTTCATGCTTTCAAAAAAAAAAAAAGTTATGTGAAAAGGACAGTTACTGCATTCACTTTTGACTCCCTTGGCAATGTTTATTATTTTAAAAAGCAGTGAATAGAATTTTAATAAAACGCCAAAATATGAAAGTGAACTTATACATTTTCTTTATTTTTGAGAATTTATAACAAAGATATTAAACACTATTATAAAAATATATGAACCAACTGTATTGAAACATTTATTATTTTCCATTTTAGAGTGGTTAATAGTGACGCATTTTGTTTTCTTTTTCACTGTATCTTGTTTTAAAGAATCCACTTTTCATCAGCTGTGATTGTTCTTTTAAAGAATGGGCTGTTTTTGTTGCTTTTGAGCAAAGAATTGAGGATAGAAATGCAGTTCATTAAATATATTTCATTAGGTAGATTATGCACTGCTTTCCTCTGTCCCTCTGAGTGTCAGTTTTTCTAAGCCCACTTTCTTCATTATATGCCTTACAAATTTCAATTGACTCTTTCTGATGTTAAATATAAGTGTCCTTGTGGTTTCCATTTTATCTTAAACTTTTCAGTTCAGTTCATGGTATTCTCAGCATCCCTCTAGAACCGCATTTCTGTTGCTTTGTTTATTTGTGATGAGATTGTCCAGCATTCACTGCCATATAGGACTGACATTATGTAACAGTTCAGTTCTCTTTTATTTGTTTCTAACAAAATTCCATCCTGTTAATACTTTGTTTTGCTTTTAAAAAGTATATTTCGCTATCCCAAAGCACCTTTGGATTTCGATACCGCACTTTCTGTCAACTGTTAAGACCCTACCCAGATATTTAAATTGTACTTGTATGATTTTGGCGTCTCCTATTTGTAATCTTCATGTTTGGCTGCCCCCTTTTGCTGACAACCATTTGCATTCTGTCTTCTTGCAATTGATGTTTAATCCATTCTTCTCATTTTCCTTCACGACTTTCTGTAGGTGGTCTTGTATTGAAAATAAAAGTGGTTTTAATGTTGGAGCATGACTCACAGTTAAAGGAGCTTTTCAATTTCGAGTAAAACTATGGTATATGTATTTAAGCGAACAATAAACATTATCCAGTGATGTATTCAGGGCTGTTTTGTCCTTGTTGACAATGTGAAACTTGTGAACAGACCCAAAGTGTGTTCTTTTAATGGCATATGTTCAATCCATGGTATTCTGAGTTCAGTGTTTGATTAACATAATAGATTGTTTGACTTTTTTATTTTTTGTTCCATTTGTTTTAAAGATCATTTTATCTTTTCCTGAAAGAAAACTAACCCTGTACAAGAAATTGTTAAACATAAAATAATTGAATGATAAAATTGGAACACTGATGTATTATGGAAGAAAATGGTGTAGAAGAAGCAGGAATTCATTAAAAAAAAAGACAAAACAAACTTCCAGTAAGTAAAGTATCAGAGAAATCATATCCAACACAAACATTTTAATGTTTATGTCTATAAAAAAAAATTAATAGGTTTTTTTTTTTTTTTTTTTTTTATTTTAGTGTAATCTTTTCATTCATTTGTTTATTTTTTGATGATTTCACTCCAAGCAAGGTGGTAAGGCCACTAAGATGCAGAGTGTTACAGGGAGTGAAAGAGAATGAGAAAACTTTAGTGAAGAGAAAGGTAGGTAAAGGAACAAGTTTCAGGAAGACACAAGATGACAATTGACACTGCATTCAAATTTTTGGAGAGTGTAGGTGGCAGGGAAGCAAGAAAGGGAGTTCCACAAGTGAGAAGTTTGAGAAAAGATTCAATTTAAATAGAACTGGCAGTTGTATCCAGCTAGTTCAAG